GGGAAAAAAAATAAATTAGGTGATAACGTGCTGAAATAAGTGATGTACAAATGAGCAGAATTGGCGTTTTGGGCGTTTTTTTGGTTGTGAGGCCACAGTTGGGCAAAGTTGGGGGTTGGCATCCTGCGGGAGGGAAGGATAAATATGGAAAAAAAGTCTTTGGAAAACGGGAAGAAAACAGGATTTTACTGAAATTGTCTTTTCTGAGAGTGAAGGAGAAACCACAATGTGGCAGCAGAGCTGGGGGGAAAAAGGAGAAATTCAGTGACGCTGAGAAACAGGACTGGCTTTGCGCTGGTGAGTGGGGTTTTAACCATTTTACAGCAGTTATTTTAACTTAAAATACCTTTTTTTTTTCACGGTTTGTGGGTCAGGCTTGCAAGGTGAGGTGTCAGGGATTTTTCTTTTAGACTTTTTTTAAGGATTTTCACATTGTTTATAAACAAAAAAATGGGAGTGTGGAGCCTGCAGATCCCCCTGAAGCTACGTGAGTTCTCGAACGGGAAGTTTAAAATGTACTTTTTTTTTTTTTTTTTTTACAGGCACATTGATAATTGTCTGGAAATGGGGAAATATTAAGGCTGAAGTCAGCAATTCCAGGACTTTTCGCAAATCCAGTGGTTGAAGTGGGAGCATCTGTCGTCGTTCCAGATGCCGTCGGGCCCGATGCTGCCACAGTCTTTCTGGTCCCTGTCTTTGTTCTCCTTCCATGTGTTCCAGTAGCTGCAGAAAGGAGGATGAATAGGAGAAAAAGGAAAACAGAAAATAATAAAGAAATTTAAAAACGCCGCACAGCAGCGAAACTCTCTCAGGAAGAGGTAAAATTGGTTTTTCGAGGGAAGGAAACCACTAAAAATCTCCTTTTTTTTTTTTTTTTTACCACCAGAAAGAAAACACGATAATACCGGTTTTGCAATGTAAATCCTTTGACTTAAGTAAAACTAACAAAAACCAAAGTTTTGCTGGGTCAGCGTCACCTTTTCTCATTTATTTTCTGATTATTTTCTGGGTTTAGGGAATCCTCAGAGGGAATTTTTACCTTATACTTGTATGTTTGCCATTAATCCAGACCCAAGTGCCTTCCTCCAGCTGATCCGTCACTCCCAGCCAGTATGTGCCGCTGTTGTTAATACTTTCCTTCAGGAAATTCTAGAAAATTGGTTAAAACAGCCCCCCCCAAAAAAATCATTCCGGTGGACTACGGAACAACTCGAGGCTTAGGGCGATTAAGGTGAGGTTGTGGCCACGATATCCAAGCAGTGTTTTTTGGTAAATAGCGAACAATTTGAGTGCGTTAAAAGTGCATATACAGCACTCTGAAAAGGACGTTGACATTTTTGCTCAGTTTTTAGCACTTTTCCCTAAAAACGGGAAATTGTAGTTGACTGAATTTGACCGTTGGTGCTTCCCTCCACCTTCAAATAACTCAGAGCCTGATGGCCAATCTTGGTTGATTCGATCCAAAAAAAAGAAAAAAAAAAAAAGGGTTTAGAGTAAAGTGTTGGCCAGAGCAGGAATTCTCTAAGAAAATGGGTGTTTTGGGCACTGTGTAAGCCAAGAAAATGGTTATTTTTCACTCACAAGCGGCCAACTGACCTGCTCCATCTCTGAGTTGACGATGACCAGGTGAGCGCCTTGGTCGGCGCAGATCTCCTTCGCGTCCACCCAGCTCATTGTCTCCGTCGAGAAGAAGTAGCAGCTTTTCTCAAAGACCTTCCAGCCGGCCGAGCACTTCTTGGTGTCCAGGACGGATCTGCAGATCAGCGCTGGAAGGACCAGAAACCCCCTCACTAAACTCAGGCAAAATTTTTTTTTTTTTTTTTTCTCGTCTGAGGAAATCTCCACGGCTTCCCTGATGGGGTGACATCTCAAACCTGGCATAAATCACCCGAATTTTCCACCCTTAAGACCACTGGGTTCTTTCTGGGGGAAAACCAGGAGGTTTTTTTTCCTGCCCCACAACGATGGGAGACCATCAAAATGGAGACCGTGGCTTTACCTGTGATGTCCTGCAACTCCTCGTAGTATTTGTGCATCCCGCTCCGCATCCGCCTCTGTTCCCGTTGCGTCTCCGACAGCTCCTGCCGCACTGGGGAGCGCAGTGGGGTGAGCAACTGCTGCCAGCCCTGTGTCCCCCCACTTTTTCCCCGCTTCCCCATTTAGGTTTACCCAAACCTTGAGCTCTTTCCCCCAGGATTTATTACTTTTCCATACACAGAAATCTGAAATAGGGCTGTAAACCTCTTACGTTGCTGGCCACCAGCTTTGCTGCACGAATTTTTTTTCTCTTTGGGTGACATTTTGCTGCAGTATCACCCATAATATAATTTAATTAATCACTCATTTGGTGGTGATTAAGGATTTGGCCCATTATATTTTTCTGCAGAACTTTCCGTAGGATTTACGTCCTTCCCTTCCCATAACCCTTAACAGAGATAAGGGGGTGGATTTTCCTCCCAGTAAGATCCTAATCAGGAATAAACCCTGTGATATCCCAAGAGCCGATTTGCTCCTATTTGCACCATTTTGGGGCTAATTCCTTCAGAACCGGGGCATGAGCTCAGTCAGTGTCTGATCTACACTGTTACCCCAGTGTAACTCTCGGTGGAAATCAGAAACACATCAGTTGAAGTCAGCGTTGCTTCACGAAGATATGGAGGAGAACCAGGAGCCACCCAGACAATTCGATTTTGTCCATAATTTACACCACAAGGCAAAACGGGTGCCAAAAAAAGAGTCAAACATCAAAAAAAAATCTCGCGACCGCCGTGAAATTCCAACACGGGGCTGAGTCCGAGGACCTACCCTTGGCTTGATTCTCTGAGTAGTTTGACCTCAAGAGCTTTAACTCCGCCATGATTTCCATCTCTGCAACAAAAATGAAAAAAAAAAAAAACAAACCAAAACCCCACGGCTGGATCATACCAAGAGATTTCAGGCAGCATCTAAATTTGGCCATTTCATGTGTTTTTTGGGCTGAGTGGAGAATTCTAGAGCAGATTCTAAATTTGGCCAATTTATGGCTCTTTTTATGGGGGGAGGGAAGGGAGGCTGACTTGGGAATTCCAGAGTGGATTTACTCTGGATTTACACCCTGTAGCAAATGGGGAGCGCTGCTGGTGCAGGCTGCATCCCTGGGGGAAAATTTGGTGATAAAACCCTAAACTTCACATACTGAAGTGGACTTAAAACCAAATTGTGATGACAGAGAGGCTTTAGCCGCCGCTTCCACATGGACGGACGCTTATAGCATCACATGGCACAAACCATGTGTTATTTCTAACACTGAAAATGCTTTTTTTGGGGGTGTTTTAACCAAACCAGCTACTTCCCAGCCCAGCGAGGACCCTTCCGGGGACACTCACGTTTCACCGCGGCCAACGCAAAGAGCAACACCCACGCGACGAAGCTCAGCGCTACCAGGATGTAGAGGACGGCCACCGACATCACCCTGCGGCTCTGTCCCCTGTCACCTCTAGGCTCCGGGTCACCTGCAGAGAATCACGGGGGAGAAATTGGGGAGGAATCCCGGTTTTATGGGTCCAGATCCGGCCAAGACCTCTGCTGTGGGATAGCGGCATCGGTTGAGAGCAACTCACCCTTTTGGTGAGGACTTGGAGATGTTGGATTCCCCGCCAGGATGTAAACCCCTGTTGGGAGGAAAGAAATAGACACTAAGGGATGGTTTGGGGGCATTTTAGGGCTAAATTCTGCCCCATGGAGTCCTCAACCACACAGGCGACGGAGGGAGAGGAGGTGGGCGCTACCTGTGCCTCCTTTGCTCCTCTGGCTCTGCAGATCTCCAAGGGTCGCTGTCGGCTTGTGGCCACGATCCGACTCCGACAGGGACACGTCATCATAATCATCCTCGAAGCTGTCTGGAGATGCTAAACAAGAGGAAAAATGGGTAAAAAAAAAATCAGGGTTTTACACTAACCGGGAATCCCGGCCGTTAACAATCGGCTCAGTCCTTCAGACAGCGTGAAAAATGCGATTTCCCTCCCCCTTTGGTAAATCTGCGGCATCTTCGACAAGGTTTTTTTTACACCCTTTTCCCAATATATATTGATTTTCTCATTTTTATGGAGTTTTACAACCTCACTCTGCTCTTTCAGAGCCGGGTTGTCCCCTCGGCTGCAAATCTGAGCAATTCTGCTGAAGTTTGAAGCTCTCTGCAGTGCAAGGGGATGAATTTGATCCTGTGAAGGGGCCAACGACGGCTCCGAGTGTGAGGATGAAGAGATAAACTCCCTCTCCATCCCCCCAGTGTGGACTTCCAGGATATTTTTGGAGCTATTTGAACTTGTTTGACAGAAAGAACCAAATTCAGAGAGAAACGCTGCGTATAGCGAGACACGTTTGACCAACCGAACTGAAAATAAAGCCCAGTTTGGCCTTGGGGAGGCACCTTGGGGAGTTCCGCTTTCCATCCGCGCTGCAAAAAAAAAGCCTGAAAAGGTGAAAAAATGATGACTTACCCGGTCTGAAGTCACCCATAGGTGTCATTTTCCCAGCAACGGAGTAAATTCCTCCCCCCCAAAAAAAAAAAAAAAAAAAAAAAAAAAAAAAAAAGGAAATTAAAAGAACATTGAAGATGAGAGGAGGATCCTCAAAACCACCACTAGCACTTCCTCCAACCCTGTTGGTGCTGGTGAGGGAGCTGCCGATGTTTTTATAAGGCCCAGGTGGAGTTTGTAGATGAAATTGGGGCCGAAATTGGAGATTTAGGGGCTCTGAAGCACAGAGCGGGACCCATACGTCTTCGAGCACCCCAAAGATGCTTTTCCCTGCTCCATACAACAGCGATGCCCCACCGGCATATTCAGTCACCGCCACGCTTCACCGAGACACCCACCAGCCCCAACAACACACGGCAAGGACACGCTAAGGACACGCCAAGGACACGGAAAGGGTGGATCGCCCCAATTTTACCTGCTTGTCTCACCAGCCGCTTGCTGGGGGCTGGTGGGGGACCCAACCAGTTGCCATAGGTCTCCTGCTGGGCCATGCTTTGCCGGGGAGAGGAGCCGCGCAGGCGCCCGGCGGGGAGCTAAACCCCTCGGCACGCACCCCGGCACACCCCTCGCCGCCTCCGGCACCCCATTTTGGCCAGCAGTTTGGCCCCGAGGTTTCGGTTCCTTCTCCACGCCGGGGTGGTGGTGACATGCAAATGGGCGGCGAAATGAGGGTGAGGCTGAGCTCTTCCCCGTAAAAAAAAAAATTAAAAAAAGAATTTAAAAATCCACCTTTTTGGTGGATCGTGGGATTCGGTGAATTTGAGGATGATGGGTTTGGGTTTGGGGGAGAAACGGTGACGCTGCAAGAGCTCTGCCGTCGGTGGGAATTTGAAGGCGGCTCCCACATGGATTTGGTGGAGGTTTTTTTAGGAATTATAGATAAAACCAACACAGTGGCACCTACAGGTGTTAAACACCGCGCTGGCAAAATCCCAAATCTTCCAGGGGAGCTGCCGCCCGCGCCGGGGTGGGGGGTGAATCCGACAGCACGGCCCTTTTTTTCGGCAAAACAAGCGTCGTGCTTCAGCAGCCACGAGCTGAGGATTTGCATACACACCCTGAAAACACTCTCGCGCCTCGTCTTCACCGGCCTTTCTTCCCTTTTTTTGTAGTTTTTTTACCTAAACCCTGGGAAAAAAAAAGGTGCGCGCCAACCCTCCTCAGCACCGCATCGCCTCAAATTGCGGGAGTTTTGGATCAAATCACAACCAAAGAACTTTATTTTTTTTTAAATATTTTTTCCCCCCCTTGATTAACCAGCAAGCCCTACGTCTGGTCAGCCAAACCAGCTCACAAAATGTTAAAAAACACCCCAAAAATCTCTAAGAACCCCTCCCCACAATGAGTGACCCCCTCGAACCCCTCCGCCACGGCGCTGTGCCCACCTCAGTCAGCTCACTTTGCTTTCGGGATGTAGAGTACCCATTTTTTGACACCTTTTTTTTTTTTTTTTTTTCCCCCC